TCCCCTTGCCCTTGGAGATCACGTTGTCCTTCCTAGATACCATGAAAGCCTGAGGGTGAGAGTAATAAAAATTAGTAAGATCAGAGGGAAGATGATGAAGAAGGAAGAGGATGAATATGAGAGGAATAAAATTGAGTTTGAAAGATGATAAAAGAATGGGAAGGGGATGATTTTTTTTATAGAAAAAAAAGAAACCCGTCCCAAAACGGGTCCTATAGTTATCCACTTTGGCCAATAGCGGTTTTAGATAACCCTAAAACCAAGAAAAATCATAAAAAAAACTTTTGAGGGTTGGAGGTCTGAGCGACACACCCCATGTCGCCCAATTCCGTACTCAGACTTGGGCGACATTACCCGTGTCGCCTGGGCGACACCACCCGTGTTGCCCACATATTTTTTGATAAAAAAGCCCCTTTTTCATCCCATTTCCAAAATAACAAAAAAAAATAAAAAATAAAAAATCATATGGCTGGCACTAGCCGTGTCGCTCAGCTTGCGAGGGCGACATTCCTTGTGTCGCCCATATATTTTTGTCAAAAATTTTATTTTTTAATTTCCTAGTGTTCTACTTAATAATATATATATATATATATATATGGGCGAGACATGTTCTGTGAGGGCGACACTCCTCGGTCGCCCGAGCGACACTCCTCGTGTCGCCCGAGCGACACCACTAGTGTCGCCCAAATCTTTTGTCCAAAAAAAATTTTTTTTTAGTATTCCCCCCATATTTCCATTTAATAAAAAAAAAAATCAGGTGGGAGACAACAGCCGTGTCGCCCAGACCTGGGCGACACCACCAATGCTACCCAAGCGACACGGCTAGCGCCCCCAAAACATTTTTGTCCAAAATTGCCCTGGCTCATTTTTTGAAGTCTTTTACAGATTAAATTTGGTTATATCATGCGTTTTATGACTGGTTTTTAACTCTCTGTTAATTCTCAAAACCTTTCAAGCGCTCCTCGATGACATGAGCCTAAACTGCAAACCGATTTCCAGAAAAATAAAAATCTCAAAAAAGAATTCAATAAAAAAGAATAACACGCTCCTTAATGGCACAAGCCTAAACTGCCAACCAATTTTCAAAAAATAAAAAAAAATCAAAAAATAAAATAAAAAAGAAAATGTTCCTAGGTGGCATGAGTCTAAACTGCCAACCAAAGTCCAATCTAGGGAACAACCACCCTCTTCAATGAAAAAACGTCAAACTCGTGCGACATAAAAGAGCCGAGACAGGAAAAACATCAAACTCGTGCCACGTAAAAGAGTCAAGACAGGAAAAACGTCAAACTCATGCGACGTAAAAGAGTCGGGACAGGAAAAACGTCAAACTCGTGCGACATAAAAGAGCCGAGACAGGTACAGTCTAGCTCCGTCTGACGCAAAAGGTCAGGTGTGACCAGGGCACAACCACCATGTTCAATGGAAAAACGTCAAACTCGTGCGAAGTAAAAGAGCCGAGGCAGGTACCGTCTAAGCCCGTATGACACAAAAGGCGGATGTGACCAGGGCACAACCACCCTATTCAATAGAAAAACGTCAAACTTGTGCAACGTAAAAGAGCCGAGGCAGGTATCGTCTAGCCCTGTATGATACAAAAGGTCAGGTGTATCCAATTCAAAGGCAAACTCGTGCGACGTAAAAGAGTAGAGACAGGTACCGTCTAACCCCGTATAACACAAAAGGTCGGGTGTGTTGAGGGCACAACCACCCTGTTCAATAAAAACATCTAACCCGTATGAAGTAAAAGGTCGGGTGTGTTCAGGGCACAACCACCCTGTTCAACGAAAAACATCTATCCCCATATGATGCAAAAGGGTAGGGTGTATTCCGTCTATCCTTGTATGACGTAAAAGGGTCAAGTGTATGGTCCATTGCTGCATGACACTAAACTGCTTAGAGGGCTCTATGGTTGTAGGAGTTAAAACTGCTAACCAACTTGGTTTTTTATAATATCTTTCTCTTTTCAAAATTTTTACTACATGTCTATGTTTTCAAAACTTTAATTTCTTTGTTAAAATCGTAACCTGCCCCTGCTTCGAGTTCTATTTCAAATCTCCCCCTACTTTCAAAACTTCTAAAATGACTTTTAAGACAAATGAGTTTGGAAACCCGTATATCATGATTACCGCATTGTCACGATTACCGCGTTGCTGCCTCGTCTCTCTCTTCGAAAACGGCCAGACAAGTCTCTTCTTATAGAAAGCCTTTTCCAATAGACAACCTTAGAAAACCCTAAGGAGATCAAAGAAGATGCCAGGGTTAAAAATTTCAAACTGTAAAGCCCCTGAAGTTAAGTGGCATGGCCATAAAATTCAACTCGAGTTTCATGCTTGTGTAACTCACCGACATCTCACGCCGAAAACCCTAAGAAGAAAAATGCCCTAGGTGGGTGAGCTCCATAAGCACAATGACTTTGAGGGATAGTTAGTGTATCCTCTGACCACGTGACATCAAGAAGAAATCTTTGACGTTCACCTGTCCTTCGAAGGATAGGGAACGCCTGAGTGTCTACTTCTTTGCCACCCACCTGCCCCTTGAATGACAGAGAGTGCCAAAGAGGGGCAACTGTAGACAACCCATTTTAAATCTAGCAAATTCTATGGTTTTTTATCCCTTAGGGTCACATTATCCTAGTAAACCCAAAATCCATAGTTTACACTGCCTACCATGTGTCCTGAAACCAGTTTGCCTGCTCGAAACCCTGCATAAACCCTGTTTTGACCTAGATTCCTGTAAATGGCATGTTTTACCAAAACAATCATTAAAAATACTAAAAAAATCCATTTTGACCCAAATTTTCTCTGAGAGCTTTACAAGAGGCTGAGGAACACACGTGGAAAAAAACAATTCAATTTTGAGTAAGTTTGACTTGGACGACACATCCAGTGTCGCCTGTGTCGCTCGGATTTATGTGACACTACCCGTGTCACCCAGATCCGAGACCCTCAAAACCCATTTTTTTGGATGGGTATTGGTTTGTTACGCGTGTATATCCTTCCCAACTGATTTTGACCCCTATAAAGCCTCTTTTCGAGGACATTTGACGGATGACAGAGATCAAAAACCTGAAAGAAATCAAAAACCCTAGAGATAGCTTTAGGAAACCGTAGCTTCTTGAGACCCTAACCCTTAAGCCTGAGAAAACCTAGATCTAGGGCACAACAAACCTAGATCAAAACTAGTCCTAGGGCACAACAACCCTAGATCTAACCTTTTACACCAAAGATCTGATGGTCCACATCCAAATCAGAGAGGCAAAGAGGACGCTGGTACTGATACGGACGAGCCCTCAAAGGCCAAGAAGTACTGGGTCATCCAGCCCGGTTTGGTATTGTTTATTCTTCTTCTTTTTCTTCTTTTTCTTCTCTTTCTTCTTTTACTATTTTGATTCTATTTTATTTATTTTGATCTATTAATTTGCTTTAAAAATTGTATTTTAGTGTCTTGGATCATGCTGGCGCTGCTACATATATGAGAGCAGATCTGCTCGTTTCCAGGCAGATCTGAATTTGAGTTGTCCCACTTTGTTTACCACTTTATTTCCTTCATTTTCATAAGTTTAAGGTCTTAAGATCCGACAGATCTTCATCATAAGATCTGTCAGATTTTCATTATAAATAAGCATATGTTTTGGATTAAATTTTGGGGGGTTCCTATTCATTTGTGGAGCGTAAGAGTTTTCAACGTCTTGGGAATGCATGTGGGGATTTTTTGGGAGTTGATTGGGATGCGCTAAGAGGTGACGATTTGTCCTTTGTTAGAGTTAAGGTTAATCGGAATGTTCATTCACCAAACCCAAGGAAAGTTTTCCATCTAAGGACCCAGGGCTAACCCTGTGGGTGCTGCTAAGGCCCATGGTCCCAAGATCCTAGATAATCATTGGACGGAGGTGACATCAAGGAGGAAGAAGATGAATGTTTTTGATCGGGTTAGGACCTGCAACAGTGAAGCTGACGAAAGAAAAACAATGGAAGGAATTTCAACCGATCATATCTTTTGGAAGGATAAGCCACGTGGTGGTAGTCCATATGGCCCCAGATATCATAGGGATTTTGGTCAGTTTCCAAAATTCAAAAAGGTGTGGAGAGCTAAATCCGGAAACGTGAAAGCAAGTAACAGTTACAATGGACATCAAGAAAACTTAGTAGGTCATGGCCAATAGAGATTCGATGTTCAATCCCCACCTTCCATCATCAAGAACATACGGTCAATCAAATTTTATGCTCCCTAATAGTGCAGTTGTACTTCACCAAGGAGAAATGGATCTTGATGATGACGCGTGGCCTAACCAATAGTGATGGGTCTATGCAACATCATATAGTTGCTCGAAAAAAGTGCTATACAAGTCAGTGGACCCGCTGACCCGTGAATGTTCATCTTAAAGATGGATGTCGTGTAAAGGGCGCCGGATCAAATGATATATGGATGCCACAAAAGAAATCCCCCCAAAAATTATATTTTAAAGTGTTTCCTTTTTTTTATTTAATGTTCATGACCAGCTTGGCGTAGATCATAAATTCTACAATTTTAAGTAAAAAACACATATTTAAAGGGAATTTTATTTTAAATAAAAAAACATCTTTAAGGGGCATTTTAAAGGGAGGCTGACTCATAGAAATCTATCCTACTTGCTGATGCATGCAATATCCAGATCACAAATGCGGACTCATAGAAACCCATCCTACTTGCTCAGGACTTCATGATGCATACAAAAGTCCACATCACAATGCTGACGTGTACATGGTTTAAAGACGAGTCTCATTGGCCGCTCTGGACGGACGGCTATGATTTGCAGATCGCGGATGTGCATCCATAATTGGTGCCCACTCGATGAAGCCAACTGGAATCTGGGCCGTTCATTTAGAAATGGCAATCTTTAGTTCCTTACCTTGAGAGAGACAAGTGTCGCGTAGAACGTTGATAGGTGGAGTGTTTTGTTGTTATTTAAACTTATACACCACGCACGAACGCATTCTCACGCATCCTGGTGAGAGAAAAGACACTACCGCTTTCTCTCTCTACAAAGAAATACCTCTTTCTGTATCTAGAAAACACTTCCCCATCTCTCTCTCTTTCCCATGTTTGTAAGGAAAGAATCCTATATCTCCCTCTCTAACAGGAAGAAGCGTTTCTCTCTCTTTTAAGGAAAGAGAGAGGTCTCTCTCCTTCTAGATGTCTTCCCTCTGAAATGCATATTCTTAGACTTCCAATTTGAAGCGTTCTCGATGGCGACCACGCTATTTTACCTCTGTATAATTGGGCTGGTTCAGAAATCAAATGCACTCAGTAGAGCTCATTTCCCACATGATTTCGTTTTCGGAACCGCTTCTTCAGCTTACCAGGTCGGTCTCCCTCTCTCTCTCTATCTATCATGAAAAGAATAAACTCAGACTTGTTCTCATATGTGGTTCCAGTTTGAAGGAGCTTCGAGTGAAGGAAAGAGGGGGCAGAGCATATGGGATACGTTTTCAAGGAAACCAGGTTCGCAATTTTAAATTCCAAAACTGAATGAGAGAATACAAGGAAAGAAGGGAGGTAAAGTAGGGATTAGTGGGAACTGAATTGGGGAATGACAATGGGCAGGACGTATCTTGGATTTTAGCAACGCGGATGTTGCAGTGGATCAATACCATCGATTCAAGGTACACGCGCTTACATTCCTAATTCCACAATTGCAAAAAAAAGAAACGGAAACGGAAACGGAAACGGAAACGGAAACGGGGGAGGGCAATGTGCGTATCAGATTCAGACACGTAAAGTGCAGCGAGCGTAGAGGAGAGAAAATTTGTATACGAAGATCAATGAAAATATTTTAAAAGGTGTATAATAATACGTTGGCACATGTTCTATCAAAAAAACAATAATAATGCGTTGACACATGTAGCCTTTAAATTTCATGTATTTTAATACTTATCAACTGCTCACGGATTTTGTTGAATGTAGTATATATATGTAAATAGGGAAAGGTTTATATGCTTTCCTTACTTAATAAAAGTTCTATCCTTTACCATTCAGGCGTTCAATTTTGATGAAGGGAGTCATTCACCGTTTGATCTTAGATCTCGACATCTTCAAGTTTTTTTTTTTTATATAAATTATATGAATATAAAATTTAGTACGTACCATCTTCTCGTTGAGGCCCACCTATAAAAAAATATTAAAAATAATTTTTTGATAAAAATAAAATGACCAAATACCCCTTAAATCTTTCAAGGGTATTTTGGTCATTTTATTTTATAAAAAAAAAAATTATATTTTTCACTAGTACGAGTTTAATAGAGGAATAGATGTCCAAAAATTGGTGTCAAAATAGTTTATATTAAAACAATTAAAATTAAAATAGTGTAGAGACATGATATTGTGATTGGGGCAATCTTAGCTCTCCATTTAGAATAGATAGTTGGATAAGGGGGAGCAAACCCAAAATAACCTAATTACATGTTTAGAGAAAGAAACCAACAAATCTATTTTATGATTAGAGAGAGGGAGAGTTTTAGAGAGAAAAACCAACAAACCTATTCATATTTTAGAGAGAGATAAGTTTAGATAGAGAAACTAACAAACTCATTTACAGTTTTAGAGAGATGAATATCAATGGGGAGATAGGCTTCGAGACAAAAATAAAAAAAAAGGGAAAAGGTGAGAGAATATTTTGATTTTTGTTAGAGCTACTAATAAGGGAATTCTTATTACAAATAAAGCCAGAAAATAATCCTAGGGAAAAGTATTTTGGGGTGACAGGTATTATGGAGGGAACATCTGAACTTAGGGGTTACTGAACCAAATAAAAAAAGCCACAAGCAATCCTAGCAATCAGATATGAAATTCAGGGTGTTCCAAAAAATTATTTTTGAAGGGTTCAATAGTTTCACGTCTAATGGCTATTGAATATATGAATCTAAGTTGGGAGAAATGTCCCGTTGACTTTTTTTTTATTGCCTATGGGTACCCTGGCATATACAAAAATTTTGGATGCTTCTCTCGTAAGGCCCATTAGATGTTAACTAATGGTAGCGTAGACAACCAGAACTTGCCTTTGTAAAAAGGAAAAACTATACATAACGTTCGCATTTTTATTTTTTTATTTTTTTATTTTTTTATTTTTTTTAGCATTGTATATAAAGTTACAACTTTAAAATTTAAATTTAAAGATGCACCTCACAAAAGCATCATAAAAGGTTGTGTGGATGTTGGAAAACCTCTAATTGATCATCTCGACATCGAGATATATGATTATGAAAAGAAAAAAATATTCGAGACATATGAATATGAAAAGAAAAAAAATATTTCGGGTTTGTGAAATGGTATATTTTGCAACACATTATAGCACATTGTCTGTATCAACTATTTTCAAGATTTTCATGCGTTTATAGATCTAGTTAATTTGAATCCTTTTTAAAGTTTAAAATTTTATACTTAGAGATAAAAGTAGATTCTCAAGCCATCCTAAAATATTTTATAGGGTAATGATTTCATACAACAGTTGTATCATAGTATAATGCAATCACACTTCTTAAAAACCATGTTTGTAGTATTTGCAAGACCCGAAATTTTGCACACACTCTTCATCTCAATAATGAATACCAAAAAAAAAAAAAAGTTTGATTTGAACCCTATATATGGTCAAAATGAGTCCCCCTCCAACAACGAATCTAGAATATTTATTTGGTCAATTTCAAAATCTTAGCTTTTACATACTCAAAATCATTTTTTTCTTCTTTAACGTTGTTCATCTAATGTTAGTAAAGCCATATAAAAAAATTGAAAAAGAAAATATCCTTCTAAGGCTTAGATCTAAGCATCTTATCAAAATGGACGGCCTATGTTAATTGGGCTAAAAAAACATATTTTAGGTTGTGTTTTCAAAATATTCTTTTTTGTGATTATTTATTAGAATAAAAAGAGTGTATATTTAAAAATTTAGATCAAACAAATGATCTTAACATAATTTTTGAAGACTGTTATATTATACTATGATGCACCCGTTGAATTAGATCACTACCTTTTTTATATATATTTAAAAATACACATTAATTAGATTGTTTAAGGTTGCAACCTTAGGCAAACTACACCCTTGTAAAATGCTAGATAAAGAAAAGGGGCGGCGGCCATGCAGATAAGAATAAGCAAGGCATGATGCCGCGCAGACATGTAAATCTCTTCACTGGATAATATGACACGAGGGAATACTTTTGGTCCACCGGGACCACCCCCCTTTCGTCCTTTCGCACCTTTACTATACATTGATTTATTGATTTGGTTTTGGCCATGGAGATAAGGAAAGGTTGAAAATAAAATAACCCGCACTCTTCGAAATTGAAGGTGCCATAGAGGTGGTCATTTGTGCATAGTTTTGCTATTACATCTTTCTACAAAAGCATGCAGAAAGATGCAATAGCTTTGCAAGTCCCTATTTTCAATTAAAAGACCCATGACAGACACTTATGAGCTGTCTTGGGTTGACCGGGCCCAACCTAAAAACCTATCGATTGTCTTAATTTTATTTATTTTAAATGATTTTTTTAATATTTTTTGTGTATGATGTTGAAAAGTAAGGGCATGTCAAATTTGAGCGTAATCAAATGTATATAAAAAGAGATAAAATTAAAATATAATTTATATTCTCAAAAATGAACTTGATTATAAAATATGAAATATAGAACTACTTATAAATATTAAAAATAAAGTAATATTAAAAATAAAGTAGGATTTATCAGTAAATTTCCATTTAACAAATACATATGCAAAGTACATCTTTTTCTAGTTATTGCAACAGAAAAATGCAGAAAAGCTCCCTAAAGCATACCAACAGATCTCTCAGTATAAAACATAGAAGCAATCATACTGATAACCATAAAAGCCATCATCGTTACATTGGAACTAAATTATTGTGTGCTTAAATATTATTTGTTTCGAAGATTTTCATTCATGAAGCATTTAACCAAATACTGGAATTGATCCTCTTTCATATGGATATTCTATCTCAGAAATGTACCTATAACTAGCACAACACGCATTATATACAAAATTGAATCTCGCATTGAGGGAATTTAACTTGTAAATATTTTTTTAATATTTAGTTGTGTTACTTGAAAAATAAGAACATATATACATGCATCAGATCTGCGGGAGAGAGAGACTTTTAATTGAAGAGTGCAGTACTTTTAGAAGTAAGGTTGTGATATTGTATGCCGTTCATTTTAGTTAACTAGTATAGAATTGATCCATCTTTTAAGACATTAATAAAAAATGGCATGTCTTTTAAGATAGTATCAAATCTACATCACTCAAATAAAATAGATATCTTAGATTATTGCGACCTTACTTCTACATGTGCTTGCAACCTTATATGAACATATTTCTTGAGTGAAATCCAAATCCAATAAAAAAAAACCACCATAATAATTGCTATTGGCAGGCCGACATAGACTTGATGAGGAACTTGGGAATGCATGCCTATAGATTTTCCATCTCCTGGTCACGAATCCTTCCTAGTAAGTGCCAAAACTCTTTGCAAATTAAAACTTTAATAACTCTTAAAATAAAGGGAAAATATCTTATTATCTTCTATTTTTAACTTATATATCTCATCAGATCTAAAATTTGAAAATATTATTTATAAGCAAAAAGAATCTATTTTTTCTATCTTCCAACCCCCTAAACCTTTTTGACCATTTATTATTGATCTCAACAACTTATGAAATAACTCTATCTCTCTCTCTCTGAAACTCTCTCTCACATCATCATCTCTCTCTAAAAATTCCATCTCTCTAAAATCCAAACTCCATCTCTCTCTCACACACATCATCGTCTCTGTCTCTCAAAACTCTATCTCTCTCCCTAAAACTCAAATTCTATCTCTCTCTCTAAAACTCCATCTCTCTCTAAAACCTAAACCTTTTGCTGGTAAACCCATCGAGAAGCGAAGAGAGAGATAGAGTTTTAGAGAGAGACATGGAGTTTGAATAGAATGTCATTTTAGTATTTGTTTGAGTCAAAAATTTATGATCAAAGAGGTCCAGGGGTTGTAAGATAGAAAAGATGAAGATATTTTGCTTACAAGTAATATTTTCAATTTTTAAGTCTCATGAGATATGGAAATTAAAAATAATGGATAAAAAGATATTTTTCTTAAAATAAAATATATTTTTTACTCTTATGTCATGCCCTATCCCTAACTTATAAGCTTACTGTGACTCAATAGATGGTACAGGACAAGTCAATCCCGAAGGAATCAACTACTACAACAGTCTCATAAATGCTCTCCTAGAAAAGGGTCTTACTTTAACTCTCCTCTTCAATGTTGTTTTCTTTTTTTGTCTTGTTTTTTTTTTTTTTACACATAGCTGCACATATCATTCTCACCGATTTCTTCAATATTACGACGAACTCATGAGTTTCGACCACAGGAATCCAACCATATGTTACTCTCTATCACTGGGATCTCCCCCAAGCCCTTGAAGACCAGTACAGTGGTTGGTTGAGCCCACTGATAGTGTGAGTCAAATTGCCCAAAAGTTTTGGTATTCTTGTTCGAATTCGAATCAAGCTTTTTGAACATTCTTCCACATGATATTGCAGAAAAGACTTTGCACATTATGCACATACGTGTTTTCAAGCATTTGGAGGCAGAGTGAAACATTGGATTACCTTCAATGAACCTCATGGCTTCGCATTACAGGGCTATGACCTTGGTGTGCAAGCTCCAGGAAGGTGCTCAATTTTTGCTCACTTATTCTGTAAGAGTGGGAGTTCAGCGACCGAGCCTTACATAGTCGCTCACAATATACTCTTAGCCCATGCTACCACATTTCGTATTTATCAACACCACTTCAAGGTTCCCTTCATGTTTTTTGTCCTAAAATTAAGTATATGAGATTTCTCCTGTGTAATGTTCTTAACCTAACTGGTACAATGGTCAAATTTCAGGAATCTTTCGAATTTAAGAATTTGTATTAAGAGAAATGGCGAAGTTTCTGATTTATTTTGCAGGAAGAACAAGGAGGTCTAATTGGGATTGCACTGGATTCCAAATGGTATGAACCAATATCTGATAATGATGAGGATATGGAAGCCGCACAAAGAGCTATGGATTTTGAGCTCGGATGGTAAGAAACATAATTATTCTAATCACATTGATCTCTAAAAAATCAATTCTCATTATCCTGTGGTAATAGAACTTTGCCAAAGCAGGTTCTTAAATCCCCTGTTCTTCGGCAAATACCCTGTTTCTATGCAGAACTTGGTTGGTAATAGATTACCAAAGCTTACTCCCGAGATGTCTGGATCATTAATTGGATCATTGGACTTTGTGGGTGTCAACCATTACACGACATTATATGCCAAGAATGACAAAAATAGGATCCGCAAGCTAATTTTACGCGATGCATCTTCTGATGTGGCGGTCATAGCGACACGTAAGATCAATTATGTTCATAGGAAGCCATAATTTTCATTTTCTGTTTTGTTATTTCTTTTGAAGTAGCTTTCATTTGTAACTACAAACGTTTTTTCTTTCTGTTTTTTACTTCTTTTGAAGTAGCTTTCATTTGAACTATAAACTTTGATTCCATTACTCATCTTGATGCTCTTCCCCTGCAGCCTTTCGGAGAGGAAGACAAATAGGAGAGAGGGTATGTTTCTTTAGAAAAAGTTGAAATTCTAGAAAATGTATAGGAAATATTTTTCTTGCGAGGAGGTAGGGTTCAGTTAAAGATACCATGAACAAACAAAACTGAAAATTAACTCAAGCAAAAGGAGGCCGCCCTTCAAATATCTCCAATTAGGTTTAGAAAAAAATTTATATTAATTTCAATGAACATGACGACCACATTATGACATCATTACAACTTTTGTTTATATAGCATTGCCTATGTTCACCACATAGAATTTCATATGGCTTTTGTACGATTATTGAAAAACAATTTTTTAGAAAGAAAGGGCATGATAGGCCATATTGCCAACATGCGGGGATATCTCTTCAGTATGTGGGATACAGTAACCATTGATTATCAACTTGCGCCATAGTATGTAGTTTTGAGTTGAAGTTCTTGTATTTATATGCATTTTTAGTAAAGATACATCTTTACTACCACCTTCCTGTACACTGCTGACTATTGCTTACCAATCACATTGGTGAACTGGCCGGGTAGTTTAAAAAAAAATCAAAAAAATTATACAAAATCCCAAAAAGTAAGAAATCTTTATTTTATTAATGTTTTTTATCATTTTGGTAAAGATTGAAAAAATTTTAGCCATTAATACTTATTTTTACATTTCCCATCTTTTTTAAAAAAAAATAAAAAATACCCTTAAATCTATTTTTTTTATTAATTTTCAACTTCATTTGGATGTGCTTGGTTTAATCATTATTTTAAATATAATTTTCATATTTCATTATATTTTTTTTATTTTCTAACGCAGTATTTACCACCAAGAAGTCACTCGGTTGGATTGGTTGAACCGACCGGTTTACTAGTTAGTATCGAGTATCCGCTTCCGGCCTCATGTCCGGTTAATCATTCCGATTCAATTTTTCCTACACTGTTGCAATCAAGGGTTTAATACTCGGCACAAGCTCTGCACCTAGCCCCTACAAAAGTTTGAGTAACTCAAAGCGAGTCTGAGTGGGACTCTCGACCTAGTATAGAACCCAAAAGGGCTAAAAGATGAAAAAAATGGAAAATTTTATTAAAACTAAAAATTATTAAAGACACGAGAGATGAAAAATGCAGGGTGGATCTTCCGCCTCTTAAAGAAAGTGTATGAGAGAGAGGAAGAAAAGGTGGATCCCCTTTTAGAGAGAGAAATGAAATGAAGGAAGAAGAAAAGGGAGAGGATGGTTCTGCCCCCAGAGAGATGGAGAGATGAAACAGAATGGCAGAGTTCATAACCCTTTAGAGAGAGAGATGAAAAAAGGAGTGAAGATCTCTGCCTCCCTTTTGAGAGAGAGGAAATCAGGGCGACTTGGCTGAGTTTTTGAACGCTATGCTTTATTATGAAATTTATCAATACAACTCATTTCTTTGTTTTTTTAGTTGAAGTTGTGTTCACTCATGCCCATAAATTTCTTATTTTTCATTGTAACATCACTTCTTTTATCCTCCCACTAACATTAAGTTCATGTAGCTTCTTAGGCTTAAAACAATAATTACAATGAAGTTAACAAATCTCATGGGTTTCCTACAGGCTGCATCAAGATGGTTACACATTGTGCCTTGGGGTATCCGCAAGTTAACTACATATATTAAGGACACTTATGGGAACCCACCAGTTATCATTACAGAAAATGGTGATGCAAGTTGTTGCAACTCCATGCACTGTACATCTTCTAATAATTCCTTACATTCCTTCATAACTCACATTCCTTCATGAGCAGGTATGGATGATCCAAACACTCATCACTTGGTCTTAAACGAAGCACTGCAAGACCATAAGAGGATAAAGTACCACAATGAGTATCTCTCAAATCTATCAGTTGCTATAAGGTACTTCAAAATAAAAGTTTTCCGATTCATAATACAATGAAAAAATATACAACGAGACCATTTACCTTTGGTACAAAGTGATCACAATTAATTTTGATTATTAAATATGAAATCGAGCGCTCCATTTATTCTAATGACCAAGCTCAAAGTTCAAAAGAGATTTTCTTAAACTTTGTGACACCCAAGTTATTAAATTTCATATTGGATGGTTGCAAATACTTGTGACCACCTTGTACAAAAGATAAATAGTTTCATTATATATAATCTTGTATGTGGAAGTTTATTCGCATGAATATCATTTACTGCTAAATGAATGAGTGCAGAGAAGATGGATGTGATGTGCAAGGCTACTTCGTATGGTCTTTATTGGATAACTGGGAATGGAACATGGGATACACCGTAAGATTTGGCCTCTATTTTATAGACTACAACAATAATCTTACAAGAATCCCAAAGGCTTCAGTGGAATGGTTCAAAGGCTTCCTTAAAGAAACATGATATCTGAGAACAACGAGTGTTGTTTTATATGGATCTACAATGTGTATAATGTCCAATCATATTGTGATTCATGAGAAAGCAGTTTAATACCATTTGGCTGAACTGCATTGTGTATATGTTTTTATGTTTATATGCAAGTTGCAAATTCATCCAGACTCTTCTAAAACAGACGCGCGGAGGGAGGGAGGGAGGGAGGGAGGGAAAGAGAGAGAAACTAAGCAAACGAGTATGCTGAGCAGTAGACGAGGGGAACAAATGGATTGAAAAATAATACACTTGGAAAAAACCTTACTTAACAAACATTTTTTACAAAAAAAAAAAGCACCTTGTTAAACTGATATTGAAGTTGGCAGGCATTGAAACTTTTTTTGGATTGAACTTTCAGAACGCTCCTTCATTTCCTTAACGTATGACTTAAATTTCTTTTTTTCATCCGTTTAATATTATCCCCTGGAATTTCATTTTTTCACCCCTTGAAATTGTTTATATAAGGTCTCAACCTTATCTTATACTACTGCCATAAGATGTACCTCAAAATCATCTAATAACGCAGTAGAAAATAAAAAACTATGAGAACTGCGTGAGAAAATAAAAAAATAATGAAAAATATAATGAAACTGCGTTAGAAAATAAAAAAATATAATGAAATATGAAAATAAAATATATACTACTGCCATAACGTAGACGTAGTAACAACAATAACAACAATAATAATATTATTAATATTAATAATAATAAGAATAATAATAATAATGATAATAATAATAGTAATAATAAT